CCCCTCCCCTCCTCCCTTCTCCACCCCGACCGAAAAAAGGAAATAATCAATAACCATACAACACGTATCTCTTCCCCGGCTCTCAACAGTGTAAAATCCCGAATTTCAAATTGCATTTGCTCTGAATCCTTTCGACTCCTGTCAATTCAACTCGACGGTAAAATCCCCTCCAAACAGCAGCAAGCAGGACGCAGTCACCCTGGTCTGCCGAGACAGACAGCTCAACTACTAATTCTAACAAGCTTAGCTATTTTTCAAGCTTGGATTTCATGGAGGTGTCCCTGACAAGAGGCACACATATCGGGGGTCGATAATGCATTTATTGTGAAGTACACTGTCTCGGGAATCTGGTCTAAGTCAATGGAAAACATGGGTTGTTACCGTGCTTTTAGCCAGTTTTTGTTTTCTCCTCAAGCATGTACGTTTGACAAGTTTGCCAAATTTCGATTCGTTGTCACAAGTTTCATGACACAGAAGACAGGCCCACACTGGCGATTATTTTTACAGGGTTCCCTGTATACAATGTAGTTCTCCAAAATTAGGCTTTGTCAAAACTATTAGAACTTTTCCTTAACGATTGCGTTGTGCTAAGAAAACTACTTGTTCTGTTACATTCACATAAATGGAATGTCTGCAGACTGTAACCGCTGTCTGTGAGCAAGCTTTTTAATCCTCATGGCGAATGTTTCGTGTTGTTCTGGTTTCACTTCCGCCTCTGCAGCATCGATGTTAGAAGTTCTCCCCATTTTGGCGACTGGCGTTGGTTCTTCGTACCTGTATTAGCATAGAACGATATAATGTAATACAACAAAACCACTACAGCCACTGTGCTATAGTTTTAATACATGATGAGGTATAAGGAAATTAGCTACGCAAGTTGGACATTATTCAAGAAACTAAGTGGGATAAAGCAGGATCTGCCTATTAACATTTCCTTACCTTGTCTCCGGTATGTATGCCTACATGTGAAGGCTTCTGATTTGAAACTAAATTGTCTCTCTTAATTTAAACCAAAATGCCGGGGGCGGGGGAAGGGGGGGGGGTCTTTGAATATTACCTTTATTCCGTGCTTTATGCTGTGAATGTCAAACTGCTTTTACAGGGAATAAAATTTTGTTATTATTTACAAGTATTTCGTACAAAGATAGGCTTTACATATTTCAACAACAGTGTCGGTTCCAAGCGTTTATCAAATCACAGCTTTCTCTTACGAGACAAGATTTTATCATTCATTTGAGAGAGAGAGAGGGGGAGAGAGA